TCCACGCGGGTGCTGCGGCTTCGCCTGGAGGATGGGCAGGCGCGAAGGAGCCGGGAAATCTCTCGAGTGGCTATGACATGAAAGAGAGGTTGCCTGAATTAGTTGGGTAAATTTGAAAATAGGTTACAGTGTGTTGAGTTAATTCACACATGGTGCAGAGGAATCATGCGGGGGAGGGGGGGGCTGGTCTTTTGGGGTTGTGTGTGCACGTGCGCGTGTGTGTTCGGTGAGGCTCCGTGCCTTCCTTTTCACCTTGGGTTTCCTTTGGGAAACCACAAGGGAAAAAAACAATAGGCTCGTAAATTGAGCAACGTACTGTGGACGAATCCATTTCGCAGCTTCCTTTCTCTTGGTGGGTGGTCGGCGTTCAGGAAATATGTGTTTCAGGTGCCTCCAGGGATAGGCTAACCATTTGCGATATGCTTTGACCAACTGGGATGTCAACATCAAATCTTGGCGTTCGTCTCTAAATTGCCCAGAAACATCAGGACCCCTCCACCCCCCTTGATCAGAGCCCCGTTTAAGAAGACTCCTTTACCTTTCCAAGGGGGTTGGGTTCGGGCGCCTTTGGTCTCCTGAGCAGTGTCAAACCAAATTGATCTTGGGTTAGATGGCTATCAAGGTTAACACACTGCAAACCATGTTAAGCCAGATAGAGGGAAATTCCGGGAAAAGGAGCCACGCCCCCTCCGGAACCCAGAATTCCGGAAAACGTCGCATTCAAGTGGTCCGTGTAAACACCCCCCCCGCCCAAAAAGAAGAAGAAGAAGAAGAAGAAGAAGAAGAAGAAGAAAGGCAGCACCTCGGGTGGCCGGAGGGTCATATCTTTTGGTCACCCACCCCGGGCGTTTTCCCTCGAGGTGAGCGCCAAGGTGCGGGACGAGGGCGCGATCGACGACAAGGAGGATGTCGAGCAGCTGAGGCGCGGGCCAAGAAGGTCGCCCCACTGAAGTCTCATCAGAGCGAAGGAAGCAGGTCGACCCCGACTAGGGCCCCCAGCTATGTGCCCTTTCTTACCGTTTCTTTTTTGGTTGGGAGGGTTCCCCTACTAAAATAGACGAAAAAGAAAAAAGGGTAGCCTTATTCTATCCTCTCTACTGGAGGACCTAGCCGAATTTTCGTTCAGCGGTCTTTTACTAAAGAGCTGTTCCGCGGAAGGCAAACGCCCAACCCGGCGAACCCGGCCCCGGAATCGGCTGGTCAAAGCAGTTTTCCTTTTGGTGTCCATTCCATTCAACCACACTTCTGGTTTTGCCTCTGGGTTGGTTTTCCAAAGGCAGCTGCTGTTTAAAAAAAAAAAAACTACCGACCTCTGCAGTCAGCTCTGGGCCGGAGTGATCCCCATCCGCCGCGTGTACGGGCCGCCCGTCTGGAACCCCGACTGCGCGGACACCGTGAAAGCGCCGCCCAACGTGGCCAACTACCCCGAGCTGCGGTCGGGGGGGAGGCGAGGGGCGTAGGGGCGAAGGACATCAGACGACAAGAATCGGGGAGGGGCTGGGAGTTCGTCTTAAAGCCTTTACTGGCATGGGGTGCCTCCAAACGGAATTTTAGAAAAGTCTAACAGTTAACACCAAAAAACATATCCCCGAACGGTCGCGAGTCACAAGAGTCTGTTTTTAAATGAACCCCCCCAACCTCGTGGCTTCCCTTGTGGCTTCCCTTTCAACCTAACTCCGTCCAAAAACAGATGCACCCATACGGCGAGTCTTAAGAGTTGGAACCAACTGACAAGTGGCTCATGAATCCCCAGCATTTGTCCGCAAAATCAGCTTCTCCTTGTGTGGTGGTTTGGATGGGTGGTTTCGCAGGTCACATTTACCCGAATTGGGGGGGGAGGGGGGGGAAGCCTTGGTGGTTTTGTATCCCAAACCGCCAGTCCAATCGAGCAAAAAAGAATCGGCCGTGAGCCCGCCGCACAAAAAGCTGCCGTTTAAAAACCCGCCATAGGACACATTGGACTTTGTATCCCACACCAATCCCCCCAAAAATATATGTGCAAGTGAGCCCAGCACACGAGAAGGTTGCGGAGAGAAAGCCGCAGGCAAACTCCGAAGCCAGCGGGGGCGAGCTGGCAGCACGTGGCCCTCGTCGGCATCGGCGTGCTGGCGGGGCTTTGCCTCGCCAGGCGCTGAGGCAGGCAGCGGGTAAGAGCAAAGAAAGGAATTTCTTTGGAGCGCACGTCTGAGGTCATGATTTTCTTGGTTTCTGGGGGGTAAGTCAGAAAATGGGGCTGTTTCCCTTTAAGCTACCACTTAGGGGGTGATTTTGATCATGGCGACCTACTGGGGCCAGCACTTTGAGGATTCTATGGCTGCCAGAATCACGCTGCGGATGGGGAAAATGCACTTCGCCCACTAACCGGCGCTCAAGTGGGTTTTGTCCACAGTATGATTTTCGGTTCGAATGCAAAAGCTGAGCAAAGGGAACGCAAGGGAGTCATCCGGACCTCTAGTAGGGCTTCTCCTTTTTCTCAACTGGTTTTTGTTGGGGGGAAGGCCCTTCCAAATCAGCCAGCCCCCAAAAGGTGCCATTTCTTCACATGCCCTTTGGCGGTTTGGGGGGTTGTTGCCACACCCTGGGCTTGTTCCTTTGTTTGCTGTCCCAGGCTTAACTTGTCAACTCTCACGTTGCCATGGCACCTGTTGCCATGGTACCTGTTGCCATGGCACCTCACAAGAGGAAACTAATCTTCCAGGTCGCATGTGAAGGGAACCCAAAAGTTTTGTTTTGGTCTCAGGCTGATAGCGATTGCTTGCTCCATGGATTGCCCCGAAAAGAAACACACAACTGGAATCATGGTGGTTGGTAACATCCCCTTTTCGCATCATTGGTAACAACTGAACCAGGAGAGGCAGGTGAACCGCCCCCGCCCTCCCCCCCCCCGCCCCAAACTGCGGAACTTGTCCTACCAGCAAAAGCTGTGCCAACCTTTTCGTGATCTTGTGCGTCTTCAGGTGCCCGGGTATTTCACCAAGAAGATCATCAATTCACACTGCTCGGCCCCGCGATCGGCTATTCGATGTACAGATGTACAGCTCTTAAGGGGCACAGCTCCTTTTGCGCGGTGACGACAGCGGTGGTTGGCCGCTTCTGGAAGTGACACAAAAAGCGAAAAGGGGCGTTGCAGTTGTGGGATCTACGAAGAAATCTGGCTAACAAATCATGACTCTTGTTCACCTTGGGCCAGGGGTGCGTCTTTGAGGGCAATGCTTTGGAGGGATTTGTGCGGGGAAACCAAAAGAAAGGTGCAGAGTTTCCGGGTTTTCAACCCAATTTGGAGGCACCATTGTCCCTCTCAACTGCGGACATGGGCAGGAGCGGTGTCAATGTAAGTCCTACCATGGAAACACCTGGTTCTTCAAAATATACCAGCTAAGAACTCGAAGGGGCCCGGCATGCCGCCTGTGCCTTACCATTTTTTGTTGCAATTCTTCAAAAGAGAAACCCTTTGGAACACCACCCAATTCAGGGAGATTCTCATGATTGTGTCTTTTCGGGGACTCCCAACACAGGGTGGGTTTCCTTCTGGTTTCCTTTAAAACCCTAAAAAAAGGAGCAGCCTCAAAAAGAAACCTTCATTGTTTTTTTCATGTCGCCTGAGAGCTGCAGACATCGCGGCTTCCGGGGTGGCTTTCCCTGCAACTTAGAGGAAAACCTCTTTGATCAGCCAAGACATTTTTAGTATCGGATCAAAATGGAAACCCCACTTTCAAACATGGGTGGTTTCCCAATTTTGGAGGAAAACTATCTTTGTCTGCTATGGACCCAGCGTTCAGGGTTCCGCTTGCAAGCGGCAAACGTCAACTCTTACCGGGAATTTGTGCGTGAGCGATGGGAAGCTATCCTCGAAGAACCTCCAAGCCGTCAATCCAAATCGCCAAATGGGGCGGGGCAGAAGTTGATGTACCGTGGCCGCTTTCTCAGAATGAGACAAGCAACCAATGAAAGCCCTCTGATGCCACTCATCAAGGTATTCTTCTAGGTCAGGCATCCCTTCCTTGACGCAGACCCTCATGTCTGACCACAGCAGAATTGGTTCATGCCATCGGTTCATGCCATATCATGATACATCGTCATCTTCTTTAGAGGGATGACAAAGGGTAAGCCAAATTCCCACGATGAAGCGGGTTCCTCACCCCTTGCCAGTGTGCACGTCAGTCGGGAATCTTGACCGCGGAACTTCATCAGGGACCGCAGAAAAAATTGCCCAAGAACCCCCGGCTATCAAGGACTCCTTTTTTCACCTTTGTCCTTATGCCTTACTGCTGACCCAGGTTAATCAACGCAGTTGTGGATTCAACAATTGGTCAACTCTACTTACCCTCGCTCTAATCATGGAAGCCGACGAGAGGGTTTTCAAGACTACTTCCTTTTTGGGAAAAACGTCTGCACGCTGACTCCTCATTGTGAATGGAGGTCCAAGTAGACTGTTGAGCAAGATGGAGGCCCTAGCCTTCCGTTGGGGTCTTTGTGACCCGGCAGAACTGACAGACTCCTCGACGGCTTTTTTTGGCCCCTAACTCTCTCCTACCCTTTAGACTCTTCAAGGATCACGCCATGGCCCGTGCGAAACAGGGGCGGGTTGTGAAAAGGATGGGCGAAGAGAACGCGAAGTCAAACATTCGATTTTTGCACCATGAGGCTCAACGGTCTTTTTGAATCCGATGTGCTATATTTTGTCAACCGCGGATGAATCCAGAGGACTACCCGTGTGAGGACTCTCTGAAATCGAGCTTTTTCTTAGGGGCTTGCCACCCCAGAAAATCCTACGGTGGGATTCCCAAGTTTCCTTCTGACCGGCTGTGGACTCTCTTTCGATGATCTGGGGGTTGATTCCCCATTCTTTTCAGCCATCGTTCTTTTTAAGAACCAGCCTTTGCCCCAGGGTTTTGGTGGTTTTCTAGAAAGAAGGATCCCTGGAAAGAATGGAAATGGAAGCTACCCCTAGAGATGCGACAAAAACCTGCGCGATGTTTTTTCGCGGCTCGATGCGCCAGGTGCGCCCGTGTCTTCTCCGTGCTCGACGCGCTTGAGGCGCGAGCTCAACCCCCCAAACAAAAATCCCCCCCTCCGCCCGGTTTGTTGCAGGAGCCCTTTTGGTTGGATCATGTTGGATCAAAAGGAAGCCAAAACGGAAAACCGAAGCCATTGGGGGTCCCAATTTCCTCATTTGTGGCACGGGCCCATGGTTGACACCCCTCAAACTGGTAAGCAACAACGGATGTGAGTTCCGAGTTCCTGGTCATGGGTCCTCAAAATAGGAGATTCCAAGCCCTAACAGCATGTTTCCGGTCTTCCCTTTTGTTCCCCTCTAATTGCCGCCCAAAAGGGCACCATCAACAAAAAAAGCAGGACACCCCCTGGTCTAAACCTCGAACCCCCTCCCCCCCGCCGGGGTCGGGAGCAGTCGAATTCCAAAAAATCTGGACACCCCTGTCTAAACCTCTCCCCCCCAAACCCCCCGCCGATTTTGGGCTTCGGACGGGCGCAATCGACGGTCGCGCGGTGCGAGGGCCACCTGGAGCCGGGGCTTTTTGCGCGGAGCGCGCGCCTGGGGTTTCTGGGCTCGGACCCCGCGCTGCTGGGCAGCTGTCTGGTGGCCAGCCCGAGACCCCGGAGAGCGCGCGAGTCCGCGCGAGTCCGCATGGGGGCCGTCGGGTTGGGCGACGTGGAGGGAGTGAAGGAGCCGGAGCCAGGAAAATCCTGTAGGGACACAACACCCCCCCTCCCCTTCCGTTTTTTTGGAGGGGCGAGTTTTTTTCTCCGTTTTTTTCTGGGGTCGACGTGGGTCGCGTGCTTTTTGGGTTGAAGCCGAAATCTGTTGGCTGCGGAGTGAGGGGTCTTGGAGGAAGCCTCTAAAATAGAATCCTGTTCCTTACTAAAGTGACAGTTTCTGTTGGGGCCATGTCAAGGTCCCAACAGGCTTTGTGTTTTGCAAATTGTGTAAGTGGCTTGTGCCTTGTCTCCGTGGAATCAACCCAAACAGAGCGGAAATCCGCGGAAGGTTTGCGGAAGGGAATCTCACGAGAAGCCAATTCTAATGCAAGGGGACGCCCTTTTAGGGAAGTTTTTCTCATGATCTGTTGGGAGGTCCTGTGCTGTAGCTTCCTGCTTGCAGCAGCTCGTTTTGCTGCAGCATGCACGATTCTTCAAATTCCAAATCAGAAGTCCGCTTCTGCCCGCAGCGGTTGGGCCACACGAACATGCCTGCAGTGGGGTCTCAAATTCGGGGACGCCCAACATGGTTGGTTTCCTTGTGGCTTCCCTTTGAAACCAAGCAACAAAATAGGGGGCTCCTGCAAAAAAGAGGCACACCCCGATCAGAAAGAAGGCCCGGTCCCAGTTTCTGGACCCAAAACGCTGTCAAAGGGCATTTGGCTGTCCTTTGTGAGGCCAAATGAAACTAGCAGGAACCCACCCAGATTCGGAAGTTTCTCTATTTTGAGAAGCCTAGATTTTGGACCTAGGAAAGGAGACGGCCCCCTGGACGCTCAAACTGCCCAGAAGCATGCGATGTGTATACACACAATATCAATATATATATATATATATATTATTAGGTGCATATACATATTATAATATATATATATATATATATATATATATCATTTAGAAAGGGAAACAATCACATATACCGCACTTTTGCTGGTGTCACCCGACGAGCTGTCACCTGCAAGGCGTGGCGATCCGCATCCCGTTGCTGAGCATGAATCCGGAGCCCGGAGCCCCGATTTTTGTGGCGTCAAGGGGTCAAGGGGCCAAGAAGCGTAGAGCCACTCGAGGTTTGCGATTTTTCTGGGTCAGAAGATACACCCTGACACCACGGCCGGCTGATTCCGCGGGAAACCTCGGCTGGTTCTTTCAAGACTTGGAAACATGGCGTGGATTTGTGCTACGGATGTTAGGGGAACCCCTCAGCCAGGGAGGAAAGCAGGGGGCCGAGAAATGTTCCCCAACGAGGGAACAAACTTGCCCCAAGAAACGTTCAAAGGGCCCCCCCTTCCCCCCCCTTTGGATGGCTCTGTGCTTTTTAGTTGAAGAATCGATTTACATGAAGTTTGCTTAGGGATGCCTCAATTCAGTTTGAAGAAATTAGCGCAGATGGTTTCACATCAGAAACAATACACACCCAAAGGTTTGGTCAGACTTTCCACCGTCAATTTGGGGCTCGGGTACAGCTGGGACCCAACTGAGGTTTTGTCAACATGTTCGGCCGTCTAGGGAGGTAACAGCTGGCATTTCGGGGAGTCCCTAATCTGGATGCAACACATCGCCCCAGAATTCCTGAAACCAACAGTTGATGGGCAAGTGGCCACATCTTTTTCCGGAGCCCCTCCAGAAATATTCAGAAAATGTTGACCGGTGACAACTGAAGTCTGTGGCCCTGGCCCTAATTCTTGGGCTACTTTGTGCCAAATGCCTGGGTTGGGCCCGCTCTCCGACCTTGGGTTCGAAACCCCAGGGGGCTTTCATTAAGCGAGCTGAGACCGGCTAAGAAGCTGGATGGCCGCAGCCCAGTGTTTTTGCGTGCTCTAGCCGGAATCCCGTATGCTGTGGGATCGCGTTGTCCCGTTTTTTGTTTCTTTTTCTTTCTTTTCTTTTTCGGCCCCTTTCTCTGTCAACGCCTGGTCGTTAAGAAACTTGGTTCCACGCGCGGCGCTCCTGGCACGGGAACCTGGCGCCACCGCCACCGCGAGCGCGTTTCTTCCTGCGAACGCGTTTCTTCCCGCGACCGCGTTTCTTAAAGCGAACCTTCCTGTGACCGCGTTTCTTTCCGCGACCGCGTTTTTTTTTCTTCTTCTTCTTCTTCTTCTTCTTCTTCTTTTTTCTCAACACGTTTCTTCCCGTGAGCGCGTTTCTTTGCGCGAACGCGTTTCTTAACGCGAACGCGTTTCTTCCCGCGACCGTTGCCAACCAAGCCTGCTTTGCAAGAGGCGACGCGAAGCGGGGCATGTGGCGCAGCAAAGCGGGCAAGGTCAACCTTGTGGTTCCGTTGGTGAGACCAAAAGAGCACGCGTTCTGATTGTTTTGCGTTTTGCGCCAAGACAGCTTGAAACTCGATTTGCTATGATTCTTGTGGGACGCCCGAGTAGAGATGTCTCCTATAACCCCGGAGTGGAAGCGATGGAACAAAGCGGCGGAGGTTCCGGGCCATCTGCCAGCGCCTGAAGCCCCGGGCGCAGCTCTGCGCCTCCGCGGAGCTGGGGCTGCACCAGGGCGTTTGGGAGGCCCAAAGCGCGGCGGCTGGCAGCGGCTTTGGGCGACGGGAGGGACCCCCGCAGCCCCGGACCGGAAGGAAAGCGGTAACAAAATGGAGCCAAAGATTCGGATTTGGTGAATTCTGCTCCCAGATGAAAGAATGGACCCAGGAGAATTCACCATCTCCGGAGATGGTGAATTCTGCTTTCTGCATCCCTTCTTTTGTTTAAAAAAATGGAAATCCGGGTAGCAAAGATGAAAGAAGGGCAGCTTAGGACCTGTGGGAGAATACCTGAAGATGCATTCCTGAAGTTGCCTCTTTGCCAGGTGTTGTGTAATTGAGTGGGAGGGCAACCACAATCTGTTTTCGAATGAGCAATAGGATGCAATAGGTGAGTAGAATGAGGCTGAATCAGCTTATTCATGGGGATACACCGCAAGCGTGCACCACGTAAGCAACTGTGCCAGCCTGGGCGCGACATGCCTTTCCCCTTGGAGCTTTGGTACTATACCGTGGTTGCGGAACAGGAGGTTGGGCCAGTTTCTGTGATGCCAGGGACAAGGTCATAGGGATGTCCCACTTTGGCAGCATTCCGCACGTGTTCTCTGTAGGGCAAATCCAACGGAACTGGGACTGAGGATGCTCACCGCTTAAGTGGGATGGTCATCCACGAAAGAAGGATTTGTTTCCGAAACAACCATGTATATCCCCCTTTGGAGGTGATAACCCCGGTTGTTCCCCCTTACAGCCATAGTTATGAACCCAGCCTCCAACAGCCGTGGTTGTATGTTGGCGAAATCTGTCATAGCGCAAACAAAAAACAGCGTCAACCTTACTTGGCAGGACTCGCACGTGGGTGACCACCTCTGGCTAACAGCTTGCTAGCTTTGACGAATATCCTACCCTTTTGTGGCTCAAGGGAAACCGGAAGGGCAGACCGGCCATCTTTGGGGAGTTGCCCTATTTCCCTATTTGTGAGACAGTCCTTCTTTTGGGCGGGCACCCTTTTGGAATTGGTTGGAGAATCTAAACCGTCACAAGCATTTTGGTGCCATGTTTTAATGTTGGGACACACCTAAATTTCCCCTCCCCCCACCAAATCGCTCTGTTTGATCCTTTCACAACGAAAGCTACGCTGATATCCGGGGTCTACCGATGGCCCTCACAACTTCGAATAGCGCGGGACACCCCAAATTTGCTGGTTCACCTCAGTTGGTTTGGACAGGTTTGGGGATTTGAAGCCCTGGGAAACCAATCCAAACCAAGCCAAACCCATCCAAACCAATCCAAACCAAAGCAATCCAAGCCAGTCCGAGCCACCAATCCAAAGCCCTCCAGGGAAGCTGATACCCAACCTGTCTTGCCCCAAACAGGCTCAGTTGTTCAGTGGCACCCTTTTTCTTTTTTTCTTTGGTGGCTGCCCCACTAAAAATGGTCTTCCCCAAAAAGGGTTCCCTTTATTTCCAGGGTCACTGGACAACTGAGCAGGTGCAGAACTCCGTGCGCCTGGGCTGCTCAGAGGTCGAGCAGGCACTTTGGGCGGGCGCGCGAGTGGGGTGAAGGACTTGGGGTCATGGGACAGCCGGTTCTTGGCCCCGGCCTCCCCTTTTTGTAGCCTCCATGAATCCATCTTTCAACAAGTGCAGAGGCTTGGTTTACTCCCCCCCTTTTTTGTAACCTTCATGAATCCATCTCTTGAAAAAGCACAGAGGCTTGCTTTTTTTTCTCCGGCTGGACTTGAGTGGCACTTTTGGAGCAGCTCAGCCAGTTCGCGTGGCGGGTGAACCACTTAAAGCAGGACACTTCCTTTTTGCAATTCTACTTTAGTATTGCAACCACTTCTTCCTGAGCAGACTTGTTGGAATTCTACTTTAGTATTGCAACCACTTCTTCCTGAGCAGACTTGTTGGAATACTACTTTAGTATTGCAACCACTTCATCCTGAGCAGACTTGTTGGAATTCTACTTTAGTATTGCAACCACTTCTTCCTGAGCAGACTTGTTGGAATTCTACTTTAGTATTGCAACCACTTCTTCCTGAGCAGACTTGTTGGAATACTACTTCAGTATTGCAACGACTTCTTCCTGAGCAGACTTGTTGGAATACTACTTTAGTATTGCAACCACTTCTTCCTGAGCAGACTTGTTGGAATTCTACTTTAGTATTGCAACCACTTCTTCCTGAGCAGACTTGTTGGAATTCTACTTCAGTATTGCAACGACTTCTTCCTGAGCAGACTTGTTGGAATACTACTTTAGTACTGCAACCACTTCTTCCTGAGCAGACTTGTTGGAATTCTACTTTAGTATTGCAACCACTTCTTCCTGAGCAGACTTGTTGGAATACTACTTTAGTATTGCAACCACTTCTTCCTGAGCAGACTTGTTGGAATTCTACTTTAGTATTGCAACCACTTCTTCCTGAGCAGACTTGTTGGAATACTACTTAGTATTGCAACCACTTCTTCCTGAGCAGACTTGTTGGAATTCTACTTTAGTATTGCAACCACTTCTTCCTGAGCAGACTTGTTGGAATTCTACTTTAGTATTGCAACCACTTCTTCCTGAGCAGACTTGGTTAGGTACTCAGTATTACCACTTCTTCCTGAGCAGACTTGTTGGAATTCTACTTTAGTATTGCAACCACTTCTTCCTGAGCAGACTTGTTAATACTACTTCAGTATTGCAACGACTTCTTCCTGAGCAGACTTGTTGGAATACCACTTCTTCCTGAGCCTACTTCTTCCTGAGCAGACTTTTCCTGAGCAGACTTGTTGGAACTACTTTAGTATTGCAACCACTTCTTCCTGAGCAGACTTGTTGGAATACTACTTTAGTATTGCAACCACTTCTTCCTGAGCAGACTTGTTGGAATACTACTTCAGTATTGCAACCACTTCTTCCTGAGCAGACTTGTTGGAATACTACCTTAGTATTGCAACCACTTCTTCCTGAGCAGACTTGTTGGAATACTACTTTAGTATTGCAACCACTTCTTCCTGAGCATACTTTTTGCAATTCTACTTTAGTATTGCAACCAATTGAAAGAGGAATGCTTTTAAGCAAGTGGGCCACCAATTGAAAGGGGATGCTTTTAAGCAAGTGGGCCACCAATTGAAAGGGGATGCTTTTAAGCAAGTGGGCCACCAATTGAAAGGAATGCTTTTGAGTAAAGCAACTGATAGCTTATTTTCTGGGCGGGGGGGGGCTGGGGGCTTGCAACTAATGTGCCCTAAAAGAATGACATTATTGTGGTTCAGTGGGGTCTGTGAGGGGTACCCTTGTCCTGATTGTTTTTTTTTGGCATTTTTTAAACACGGTTTAATAAAGAGTTTGCAGTTTCAGGGCTGGGGATGGTTTTCAAATTTCAGAGGTTTCAGCTGGCTTTGGGTTCTGTGGTTGAGCAACCAATTGAAAGGGGAATGCTTTTAAGCAAGTGGGCCACCAATTGAAAGGGGATGCGTTTAAGCAAGTGGGCCACCAACTGAAAGGGGAATGCTTTTGAGTAAAGCAACTGACAGTTTATTTTCTGGGAGGGGGGATGGTTTTCTAAATTAAAATTGATTTGGGTGATTTTTTTGATTCTTCCCCCGGGGCAAAAACACTTTCAATTATGCTGGTCCCCCTCAACAATGGGTGCGAACCAGAATAAGGAAAAAACACATGCCATTATTACGGCCCGGTTGATTAATCAAGTGCCAACATCATGGTTATACACCACCTGACGTTGAACCTGCTTTGTGCCCCCGAAATACATGCTGATCACCTTCTCCTCCATGAAAACTTCAACAGGCCTGTCTGTGTTTTCCTTGAGCCTCCGGTGCTTGGGCTCTTTGTCGCCGGTTTTCCCCCGTGTCCGCCAGGTGAACGCGGTGGTGGGGGCGTGTCTGGAGCTCCTGGCCCTGGAGGCCCGGCTCGAGCGGGGCGAGGACCTCACGGCGGAGGAACCGGCGGCGGAGGTGGCGGTTTCGGCGGCGCTGGGCAGCGGAGAGGAGGAGTACCCCGGGTTCCCGGCCGGAAAGCCTGGAGGTGTGTTGGTTGGGATGTTCGGGTGGGGAGGTTGGGGGGGTTGGTTTGGGGAAAGGGGTTGGGGGTTGGTTGGGGGTTGGGGTTGGGGGGGTGTTGGGGTTGGAAGGGGGTGTTGGGGGGGGTTGGGGTTGGGGTTGGGGTTGGGGGAAGTGGGCCTGAAGTGGGTGGAAAGATCGGAAGGAGGGGGAAGGGCGGAAGGGGGCGATGGTGAGATGCAATTACTTTGATCCAGAAAAAAGGCTGATGGCAAGTTGCGGCCCACTGGGAGTTGATGTGGAGGAGTAGAGACATATTGGAGCTCAATTTGAGGTTTTCCTTTGGACAAGCTGTCGTGTTTTGTTCAACTGGGGCCGCCTCCGAGTCGGGGCATGACGCGCCCAGGTGGACGCGTGCCCACAGGAGATGCCGGACCTGTCGAGGCTCGTTGGGGCGTTTATGAGTTGTTGTTTTTTCTCGCAGGGTTGGGCCACTCAATTGTTTGGCGAGGATTTTGTTTGTTTGTTCCCTTGGCCAACCGGGAAGAATGATCCCCCAAAGTAAGCCGTCCCCTTGTTTAAGCATGATTGGACGGCTGTTGAAGCACGTTTGGGCCAACCTGACCGCGACATAGATTCAGCGAGGGCGTCTTGGGGCATGTTGATCAGCGTGGATTTGGTTGAGAATTGACACCTAGGGTTCCATACTGGAATGCATGACCCACCCCTGCGTGGGGTGACCAGGTCAGCCCCAAACTGGAGCCCTGAATCAATCGATATTCGCCGCTGCAACTCAACTCATCCGCGATCAACCTTTAAGATACTGGACTGGCAACCCTTCGCTTAGAACGGCCCAGTTCAGTCGAACAACTTCGTATAGAGGATGTGGCCAAGTTGTCTTCACACGTTCAAATCTTGTCTAAGATATTCCTTCGAATGAAACACCATCAGTTTGGTTCATGCCACAGGTGGTGGTGAACACTTGACCGCATCCTGGCGCATTGCCCACCCTTTTTGCTTGGATTCTGGTTGCCTCCATTTTCAGCGGATGTTCAGCGGGGAGGTGTTGCATTTGCCTGAACAAGAGGCTTGGGGGTTCACACCCCCAAGCCACGCCCAGTCACCAGCTCCAAATCACCCGCCAAAAGCCCACATGGGAAGGGTCCTCTGATTAGAACTCAGATTCCCATCTCCGGCAGTTCCCGGGTCCTTGGAGCCCCTTTGATCCGGAACCCACTCTGATTGATATGGAGTTTGGAGCGAAAGGGCTGCTGAGCACCGAGAGACTTTCTGGTTCGAATGAGTTGAAATTGCCCACGAACTAAACCAGGCAACTGGTGGTTTCCTTTAAGGGCATCTCTAGGTGTATTCTCAAACCTTCCGTTGATTCCCGACTGAGAACCGACAAGGACTTGAGGATCACCGGTTGTTGGAGCTTAGCTTCGTCTTTTTCCTACTGACTTGCAGGCACAACAGCCAGATGGCCGAGATCTTGAGCGCCGACCCCTCCATCTACGAAGAGCTCAAGGCCAACCTGTAGCGTACGATTGCACTTTGAACATGACCTCCATGGGTATAAGAAAAGCTTCCTTTTCTCACATGAGCCACAATCAAAACCCGGGGAGATGAAGGTTAGTAAGGGATAATCCCAACCACAAATAGCTGCCGCCGCCTTCTTACTCTTTTTTTTACATGGTTCTGGGTAGACCACTTTTCTGGGGTTGCGAGAAGGCCGGCAGCTAAACGCTTAGCCCTGGCAGATGGTTTGCAGAGGGGTTGGATAGGGGTTGCTGGTACCAATTGAAGGCTTCGCAAAGGAATTGAGGCTCCTTTGGAGCAGACTTTGCGCAATGTGGTCAATGTTTTGAACAGAGCAGCAGCTTTCCTGAAACGAGAAAGCCGCACAACGAGCGCACATTCCCGCTACAAAAGCGCAATTTCCCGCCACAGGAGTGGACATCAGCAAGTGCTAGTTTGTCACGTTCGGCGCGAGCTGCAAATCTTGCACATGAGTAGCAGAAAGACTGAGCCCACACGATGGACAGTTTCTTCTTTTTCGATGTCCGCATCCGAGTGTGTTTTCCTTGAACCGAGCGCTTTTCAGACAAGCGCGCGGTAACTTGCACGAGCGGAAAATAACGCTCATCGGAAGATTCAGGAACCAAGTAACTTAAATTTGCAGGCCCCCCTTAAAAAAAGAAAAACAACTTATCTTTTTTGAACGGCGCGGACACCAACGGCAACCACGACAACTTACAGGTGCCCCACAACGAAAAAACGGGGTACCGAAATTCTGGTCATCGGCACCCTCCGAGAAGCCTCGGCTTTTTGTTGCCGGCCAGGACCTGCGCACGCCCCTCGGGGTGAGCCTCGCAAGGCCGGATCCCAAAGTCGAAGGTCATGAATCTTTGAAGGGCGAAAGTACCCGATTGGTTGTTGCTTGTTTGTTTGTTTGTTTGTTTGTTTTTGGGGGGGAGTTCCTGTGTGTGTGTGTGTGATTTCATCGCACCCAAACACACCCCTTGAGTTCTGTGTGTGTGTGTGTGTGTGGTAGCTTCGCGATTTCAAGAAAAGGGGAGGCAAGGCACAAATGTCACCTCCGTCGCTTATGTGCTTCAGTGAAGCGCAACAGACATCTTCCGTCCTCGTTCGAATCCCATGGCTTTGTACCGGCGGCTCGTGACCAGCCTGGTGTGCCTCTTGAACCTTGGCGCCTTGGCCGGCGGGGACGAGCTGCCGACCGCTGATGGCAGCTACGTGCTCTCCGTCAAGTTCGAGGCGGCGCCGTGCGACGCTGCGAGCGCCTACCTGTGGCTCCTGAGGGTTCCCAGCGGGTGCAACCCTTCAGCCACGGGCGCCGCTGGCCGCGAGGGCAGGGCCGAGTCGAGACGTGCGAGGCAGTGGGGGCGGACTTTGTGTACAAGACGAGCTGGTACACCAACCCGACCTGCGAGTCGGCGACTTTTGTGGACACCACCAGCCAGGAGACGCCGAGCTCCAGCTGCTCGCTCAACAACAAGGGCCAGGCCGAGAAGCACTACTGCGCCACGCGCAATTTGCCGGAGGCGCTGAACATCCTGAACGGCCAGCAGCGCACGATCTGGTACGGCTGGCACCGCGACGCGGCGTGCTCCACCCCGGCGGATTTCTACACCTTGTACAAGGAGGGCGTCTGCGTGCCGAACGACCAGGCCACCACCTCGGAGCTCTTCGCCGTCGCCGCCGCGGGCGTCCGCAAGGTCGCGTACGACGGAGCCGCGTGCGCGGGCAACGCGACGGAGACGCTCGAGGTGGCCCACGGCTTTTGCTTCCAAGCCACGGCCGACCAGTGGGTCAAGGTCGAGGGCTACTGGCCGGACGCCGACACGACCTCCTTGGCCACGACCTCCTTGACCACGACCTCCTTGGCCACGACCTCCTTGGCCACGACCTCCTTGGCCACGACCTCCTTGGCCAAGGCTCTCGCCCCTCTGAGCGCCCTCCTACCAGTATTGATTCTACATTAAAGGGAATCTTCCTGATATTTGAATTTGGGAGACCCTGAGGGTACAATGTTCTGTTTCGTGAAGCTGCTGTTTAATAAAGACAGTCCTTGCGCCGTCTCAAGCAGCATCAAACAATCCTTGATACCTGCACGAGAGAAAAAGCTGCAAAATCGCCGTTTCGCTGCCAGAAACCGCTGTTTCGCCCGAAATGTGATGCTGATTAGGGACTCGCTGCAAAGGCAGTCATGACAAAAAGTGCCGTTTCGCCTGATACCCTTCAGATTGGCCCAGGTGTGGGTATATGCTGGCTGCATAGGTTAATGAAGTCCAGAATTGCATGCACAGGCCCCCTTAAAGGGTGGGTTTACTCTTGGCCCGTTAAAGGCCATCTCAATACAGGTTGGTCCACAACTCTTGGAGAAATGACAAGCACATGTTCCTGATGAGGTGGATACTCAAGGCGTTTCGGGCTGACCGTTTGCGAAAGGGAAGCCTGGGAAGCACTTCCAAATTGCAAAAATATCAGAGCCAAATCTGTGGTGATTGCGGCTTTGGGAGCCGATTCCTTTGATGAAGCCAGTTTTTTATGGCAGTTGCGCCTATTTTGAGGAGGGCCAAGCGAAAAGCCCTTTGATGGGGCAAATTGAGGCCAAATCAGCGTACATGGGGTTGTTTCGGAGTTGGTAGGCGGCATCCTGTGATCCGACAAGGTTCCCCAACTTTCAAACAATATCACCTGTTTGACCAAGTCAAAGTGAGTTTCATGGGTGTGTGTTTTTTAAGGGAACAAACACAGACCCCATATGGCTGGGTCTTTCTTTGGGGGAGCCCCCCAAGCTGGATTTCGGTGTTCCTCTTGGTTCCCCTTTTGAACCACGTAACTTGGTGGCTCTCTGCCATCCCCTTAGCTTTTTAGCCTTTGCGTGTTCAGTAGGGATTTCCATTTAACCCGGGGATCTAAGGACAGTTCAGGTAAGAGAAGACAGACCGAAATCGAAGAAACCCGAAGCTCCGCAGCTTTCCGAAGCTTTCCAACGCCAGGTGCATCAAGCCAGGGGTGGACTGTGCCGGCCACAGCTTCTTCCGGATGATCGGCGCCTGCGCCGGGGACGAGCACTGCCTGGCCCCCCAAAGTCGGAGCTGCTCGGAGTTGGTTCCTGCAAGAATGGGCTTCGGATAGTTGCTTTTTGCTTGTTTGTTGGGTGTTTTTTTTTTTGGGGGGGGGGGGATGTTCGTCGGGTTTCCTCTTTTTTCTTTTGGAGGGGGGGGGGAAGGAGGAGGAATTGCAACATCTGACCGCGTGTGGCCATTGCGGCACAGGCCGTGATGTTTGGCATGACCTTGCGTTGTACCCAGTGCTTTTCGCTTCAAGGCAGTCCTAGGCGATGCCTGGCCCATGGACCCCTGCCAACCGGCCCCCAGGTGCTGTTGCTGGGTTTAGGTTCGTGTTCTTGTGCGTTTACACAAGCGCAGGTTACGCGCGCCGTAGTGAAAACGCAAGATCAACAGCTGTAGGCTTCCATGTAGTGTGAGATTGGCGCTCACGTGTCGGGAACGCACAGGGGCTGTGGACAAGCGCCTGGAGAGCCGAACGTTCGGTGCAGCTTAGGAACGGCGTGGGCTTGTGAACGCTCGTGTTTCGCATGGAGGAAAGCAAGCGCTGTTTGTTTTCGACAGTCGGCGCGAGAGGTTCTGGGGTTTGGAGCCATCGAAAGCGGTTCCGAGAATGCCGGGTGTTCGATTCTGGTGCGGCGTTGCTCGCGGACCGCGCTTTGGAGCTGTCCACGCGTGAGGTCGTTGACGGTTATGGGTAAGTTATGGGTGCTTTGTTTCTGGTTTGCAAGCTTCGGTTTTTGCGTCGCAGGCTCTGGAAGAACATTCAGTTTTCCAGTGTCTTAGGCGCTAATTAGTGGCAGCAGCCTCTGCAAGTGGTTGCGAGAATGCCGTGTTGTCGGCTCTGTTTCGTTGTTTGTAGACCGGTTTGAATGTGGGACGAACGAGTTTGAGCGGTTTTGACTTTGTTCCATGTGTCGCGGGCTGGTTTGGAGTACTTCCACCCCTGCACACCAATCACGCGTAGGTCGTAGACGGTTATGGGAGCGTTGTTTCTGCTTGGCAAGCTTCGGTTTTTGCGTCGCAAGCTTGGGAAGATGCGAAGGTAAGCAGAACGGTTGGAGTTTCAGTGGGCAGCAGTTGATCCATGAACAAAGGAAGTGCTGAAAGTACCCCCTGATTAAAAAAAGGGGCTGTCTTAAGTTTAGTATGGTTTGGTATTGCGTCAATTGAAGGTGAAAGGGGAGTTGTTTTTAGATTTTGGCCTGAACAAGTATGCATAAATAGGAGTGCATTTAATAAGATGGGACAAGGGATTAGATCAATGGCTCCGTGTGTTCATGCACGTTCGCCTAGTGGGATCTGAGCCCAAGGTCCTCGTTTTTGCGGCACCAAACTCATCCTGTTGTTTCGCGGCCAATCCACAGCTTGGGCTTGGTGGCTCCCAGCCATCCCCTTTAGCCTTTTAGCTTTTTAGTGTTTAGAGGTAGTTTCCATTTGACCCACTAAAAGTTAAAGTTTTAGCAGCAGATCGGACATCCCAGGTTGGTTCAACCTGAGCCAAACCAACTTTTTGCGCGGTGAGTTTTCGGGGCACTTCCGAGGCCTTCTTAAGCTGTCGCTTGCTCGTTAAACTCACAGCGCGATGGTCAGGTCGTTGAAGCCGGCCGAAAGGAAGCTTAGGCGGTTTTTTGCCGGGTTTTGGGCAGTCTGGGAGAAGGATCCCTATTGGAGAAAAGTTACCCCGGCTCACCTGATTTTTGTTTGGTTCCCTAGCCAGGCGCTAGGATTTGTCATGCAATCTTCATCAGCTATCAGAGTTTTCCATACGCGAAATCGTTGAACCGATCATTGCAGTTCTTGTCCGGGTTGGATCACCTTCAATGGTGTTGAGGTTCTAGAAATCCGCATGTCCATGATGTCGACTTACGCCCCCAGGGAATATACTACTTTCTAGTGGTTTGCCGGTCAATTCAACACACATGCCCATAGGGTTCAACTCCCATAAAAAGAAGCGTTGACCCATTTGGAGGACAATCCTGAGGCAAAGTGACCGGTGGTTTTCCCATGAACCCCCATGGGTTTTCCAGGTGGCCTGCCTGACCCTGGGGCAAACGTGTCCCTCTTGAAGGGGTTGCATCACCTTCCGCGAGCTCCCAGGCTACGAGGTCTTTCAGAAGCTCTTCAACCCCATCATCGCCAGGCCGGAGCGCGGAGCAACTTCACACGCCCACCGGAAAGAACCCAAGTCCCCCTTGTTTGGGCATGTCAACCCCTCAGGAAAAAGCCACGAATTCGGCCAGCGGAAAGAACCCAGTACCCACCTGCTTGATGAAAAGCACGTTTTTTTCTTCTTCTTTTTCTGGTTTCCATACGGGTACACCTGGATCCCGGATCCTCAACATATCCCAGCCCCCCCCAAAAAAAACAACATGCGACTCTGAGTTGCCCCTGGCGTACAGTCTTCTCCAGACAATCCCCCAATCCCAATGATATAAGGCAGACGCTAGAAATAGAGCCGCCCGGCTGCCGGGCTCCCCTGAGTTCTCCCTGGTCTCCATTGTTTGGCGCGGTACCTTGACGAAATAAAACCAGGTCCCCCAGCTAGGTGCCCCTTCTCACCTTTTTTGGGGGGGAGGGCTCCCCTACTAAAATAGACTACAGAAAAAGGGTACCCTTAATCCAACCTCTCTAGTGGAGGACCTAGAAAAAACTAAAACGATTGCTCAAGGGTTTCCGGTGGTTTCTTTCCTGGGATCAAGTCTCGGCGCTTGGCAGGGCGACCGAAGTGGAAATGCAGTGGTTCCTGGGCGAAGAACCCACGGATGTACAGCAAGGATTCCACAGTCCGATCTTGATGCGTTTTTGTAAAGCGTGTGCCCTTGTTGCGGTTGCTTTTCAAAGGACACCAGCAATCTTCGAGCCCCCATTTTTGACATGGTTGTTGATCAATATTCTTGGCCCCCAAATGACCGTGGGTAACTTTTCCCATTTAGTGCGACATATGTTTTGTGTGGTTTTTCCCAATGGTTTTCCCCGTGTATTTGACCTCTGGATCACCCCGCGTATCCGATGTTTGGGGCTTCCAAGGCGTCCGGCGGGAGCCTTGCAGCTTCAGGCGCGCGCTGACTGCTTGCGAGATGCTATGGTTGCGAAATCCATTTCGCACCACCTCAAAGAATCCCTGGAATGATTCGAGACAATGGGTTCAGCCATGGTTTCAAAGCGGTGCGAAATGGATTTCGTCCATCCACAGTATGGATGGCTACAATCTCCGATGGGCAGCTGGGATTTGGTTTACTTCACTGTTGGCATGTTCCAGGTGTTTGGTTTTTGGCTCTGTTCGTTGTTCGCACGGGGCGGGCAAAACACTTGTTTGCTACCATACCACGGTATTCATAGGGCTTCCATCTCAGTTAGTTCCGATAGGCGTGGAAGTTGTAGCAAAGGCTGGAGCCTTGGTTCGTGTGCTGACTCGCGACCCTCAGAGTTGGCACTCTTTGGCAGGTTCGTTCTACCTGGTTTCATAGGGGTCGTGGTCAATCCTAGGTAGACCTTTACAAGCATGTTTGGTAGAACCCGCAGTCCATATGTTTTGGGCGCTCACGTCTTCTGCTTGTGTTGGCTGGTTTCCCATAGTCAGATCCGTCACTTTTCTCTTGGCGTTCGCTTCTGCAGGGGCCTAAATGGTCAGAATGGGGCTGCGGGGGTCTTACGCAAATCAGTTCACAAGAGAATGCCGACAGAAACTGCTCAGCCTCGTTGGCTTGCCTCTTTTGACTAACGGGGAACAAGTACTACCCGTGAATAGTTGTTGTTCCCTTTCGTCAAAACCAGCAAAACCAACGAGGAGTATTGTCTCTGCGAAGGTGGAGGAAGCAAACCTGGATGCGGTGCTCAGTGTTCAGGCACGGACCTCACGATCGGAGGTGAAGTGGGGGAGGGGCGAATGAGCTACAGAGCTTTCGCCTCAAATCAACATAGGGGATTCGCAAAAAACAGTTTGCCCACCGCGGGTTGGCATGGTCATTTTCTCAGCATCTTGGGATCCGGCAGTTTCTGAACCCAAATGGTTGGTGTCCTCTTTGCACTTCTTCCTTTTTCAATCAGCCTCATCTTTGGGCCTCAGCAAAACTTAAGAGATTCATATGGGCATGCCTTTTCTTGTGCCGCACCTTTTGGGGTTGGTTTTCACGGGAAACTCAACCAGGGGTTCCACACATATGCTTGGATAACCAGCTTTGTCAGGTAAGTGGTCAATAATTACTTGCTATTAACCCACGGAGTTTGTGTTTCTCACCAGAGGTGTGCCCCCCGATGTGTCCGATTCACAAGGTGGTTCGTAATGGAATGCTACAAGCACAATTTAATCTCTGAGAAAGCTCACCCAGCCCTTTTACTGACACATTGAGAACCCCTGAGTGTAGACACACTGCTAAACGAAGGAACCACCCCCCCTTTTGCAGTTTATTTTACAGGGAAGCTACAAGGACCACCATTTCGGGACATCCAAGATTGTTCCCGGCACCTCCCCCTTGTTGTATCTCCCAGTGCCCCCTGGGCGCCTAACGTGGTTGGGGACAGTGGAAATCATCGACTTGTGAGCCGAGCCTTGAAACCCACCCAAAAGTGAGCTTCCCCGGGTTTATTTTTTGTCTTGCCATTTCTTAAGACTCTTTTATATTTCCCCCCTGTTGGGGTTAAAAAGAATCTATCACCTTGTTACCCTGACTGGAACTGGGGTTCGTCACCCTACCATGGTTATAACCTATGGTGCTTTGAACCAAATGAGAAATGGTATCCTTCCCTACCGACTTCGCAGCAAGGAGCACCAGTCGCCATCAGGTGTCCCTGGAGCGAAACCTCCATTCCTTCCGCTTCACTCCGGCCATGGACCTACCAGAGCGAAGGCGAGCGTCGGAGGGTCGGGGGGTTCGCGGGGGGCCGGGGCGGGTTGTTGAGCGGCCCCAAAAGGGCAGGGGGCGTCGTTTTGTTTTTGTTGTTTCTTTTTGTTTTTGTTGCTTCATTTTTTACAAAGCACGCAAAACAAGGTACCCTCAAAACAGACGCGCCACAAAGGTGCGTTGTGTTGACAGTCCCTCGCGTCAGGGAATGGTTATGAGTGGGAGATCAGGAGGTTGTTGACATAAAATAGTTCCGTTCGCAAAAGTACCGTTCAACCCGCATACCAAGTGCCAAGGAGGCGAAACCAAACGGGAAGAAGATACGTAGAAAAGGACGGGGCAAGGGGGAACAAATCAAAGGAGGGCACAAAGAAAGCCTCCACAATAACTCCATGTTGGTTGGGGGGAGCATGCACCAAAAGTGCAGCTGATATAAACGGCAAACCCCGACAAGATCTAGGTCCCCATTCTCGAAAAAGCGTGGTGGCTTCTGGGACGTGTGCGACGAGGCAACATGTGATCAACACGGCATTTTCGGAACCGTGATCCACAAGGTTCAAATTGGCGGCCCTCCGGTTATGTGTCTGACAGTGTCCTTGCCAGCTGCAGCATGTTGTACTTTTTAAGCATCTAGGTTGCATGGCACACTGCGCGAGCCCCAGCATCTGCGTCAGCCAACTCAACTTGAACCGTAGTCATTGATTCAAAGAACTTCATTATCTCAGGTCTAGCTGCTAGATGTGTGGTCGCAGCTGTCTTTGTCACCGGTCGGAGGTTTGTTGCAACTTGTTGCCATAGAATGCCACTGGGGCTTAATTTTTAAGGTGGAGGTTTATATATATATATATATTAATATATATATATATATATCTATATGCGCATATATAAGGGGATTAGGGCAGTATATTTCCATATCTATAGATGCATCCCTTCTTACATACGTGGTATTTCTCCCCTCCACGGCTCCAGATAAGGCAGCTCGGTGTTGATGAAACTAAGGTGGACGCCCAAAGACATTTAAACCAACACACATCCCAATGGGCACCGGGACGTCGCGCCGGTTTTTTAGCGCCCCGGGGGTGGGAGTGAACTCAGGAAAGAAGCTCACGGGGAGGTGAACAGAGGCCAGGGGATGTGTCAAACTGGGGGAACCCCCAAAATGTTGGGGAAGAACGGACATAAAAAGGGAAACAAGCAGGGTAGCACACGCCTTTTCCGAGCTAAGGATGACTTGGAGTTCCGAGTAGAAACCACCAAGGGCGCCCTCCCGCCGCTCCTGAGGCGGGCGGAGGCGATCCTCAGTGCGGCGCTGGAGACGCTGCAGCAGCAATTCGCGGGGCAGTGCGGGCCCTTGGTGGCTCCCAGGCATCCGGTTCCTGAGCCTTTTAGCATCGTTTAGCCTTTTAGTGTTTCGTGGTAGTTTTCATTTAACCCATAAAAGTTAAGCTTTTAGCGGGAGATCTGAGGGCAGCCCATGACGAATTCCTGGAACATCCATGAACATGTATGGGTTCATTCCCAAACCAGTTTATTCCCTGCGAATCGCTGGTGCAATACGCGGGGAATGAAAAGCGGAATAACCCCCGAGAAAAACCATCCCACTGGTGGTTCCTTTGAGGGGATGGGTGCATTGCCACATTCCCTACTGGGCACCAGCAAGTTTGTTGCATGGTTATAAAGACAACCAGCTGGACAACCACCTTTTGGACACACCCAGGCTAAAACCACGTACTTGGGGCACCACCCACCTCTTTACCTGTGGGAAAGTAGTTGTGGGTTTGTCCTTGAGGGTAGCCTTTTGGGATCGGCTAGAAGGGAGACTCAGGAAACCCCAATTTTTGGGGTCCCCCTATCTTGACACAGTGTTGTATTCCCACGAGTAAAGGAAAAGGAACAACATTTTTTTTCCGCCCGTGGAATCCATCAAAGTTCCGCTTTAAGGCTCCGAAAGGACAAACCAAAAGGTTAAATCAAGGGTGCCCGGGTGCCCTGAATGAAAATCCCAAACGAGTAAAGAAAGGTAGCTGAGGGGCTGAGGGGTACATGCGGCTGAAAAATCCCAAAGACTCACGTGTCATAGTGCTTTGGCGACTGTTTGTGGAAGTCTGTTGCTCTTGGGCGATTTCAACATGAGTTGCCTTTTGGGGAGATGCTGACAGGGGACAATCGAAGGAAGCCATGTCTCATGAAGCTTTGCAGCAAGGCGAGCCGGAGGTTTCACATGGCCATGGGTCAAAATCCAAATCGTACCCCCGGTGAACATCCGATTCAATCCCCACTAAAATAGGTACTAACATGGCTGGTGCAGCTACCCCAAAATGGGATCCCATTGGTTTTGACAACCACAGCCACATGAGAGGGGCGTTATGGCCTCCAAGTTCTAGGCGCAATTGCTCGAGGGCTGAAGCCTATGTGCGATGCTTGGAGAGATGCTGCCTCTAGGCGCTGTCGCCTTTGTAAAAAAATAAAATACCCAACTGTGCGGGAAAGGGCTTGAAGGTCAGTTAAAGGTGAATGTCTGATTCAGGTTGGGAGAGGTAGTTGTTTTTTGGAAAAGGACAGTTCAGACTGGTAACCTGAATTGAGTTTCTGGAGGTGAACGACCAACAGTATTACATTGTTGACACCGACGCCGATGGACGGAAGCCCAGACCTCCAGTGCCAACTTTTTCTTGCAAGTCGGGGTCTGTGGCAAATCCGGTTTCCTTTGCGCCTAGGTACATGCCACTGCGGGGCTCGAGCACAGCATCCAGGCGGGGGGTTGCGTCAGATCTCGCAACAATTCAGGGTTCCTTGAAATTGGGTCGGTTTCGGTGTGGGTTTGAACTTTCATGGATCCTGGACCACATCAGAATTCGGGGATTTATGTCCACCAACTGTTTAGGGGTCCCAATTGAAACTCATGGCCACATGGTGTCCCTTTAAAATCATCCCAAAAAGTGGCACCCTCAAGAAGCACAAACACACACACACACACGGAGAGAAACCAGTTTTCCAAGATCGTGTCCACTGCCCCCAAACTGAACTGAATCAAGAAGACGGCTTGGATGTGGCTTTTTTAAATCCACCCCTGTAGGATATCAAACCTAGTACGAAAAGCAGTTCCAGCAAAGGACAAACATCGGGATGGAGCAGGTGCAATCCACAAACATCGCATCCAAACTATTTTCTGGCAAACAATCCTTTTGGGAATCCTAAAGGTCAGAGGGGAGGCTCCAAAGGGAAAGCGCCTGCAAAGCAAGTAGGTTCAAAGTGAGGTAACCTCCAAACCAATCCAGATTACCCAGTAAGGGCGAGCATTTCTTCAATTGTGTGTACCATGAACATTGTTCTTTTTCCATTTTCCTGGCCAGGTGCCAGGCAGTCTGCAAGCACCAAGATCCCGCTGCGCGCAACCTAGGCCAGGCATGTCCCAGGATGAGGAGTCCAAGTTGAGCGCCGAGCGCTGGCTCTTCGAGGTCGGGGATCGGAGAGATGGAGAGATGTGCCGGACCGGCCGATGTCAGGGTTTGCATGGGGCAATGTCTAGGTCCCGCAGCTAGGTGCCCTTTCTCACCGTTTCTTTTTTGGTTGGGAGGGTTCCCCTACTTACATAGAGTGCAGCAAAAAGGATACCCTTATTCTAACCTCTCTACTGGAGAACCTAGATTTGGACGGGCAGAAACTGGGGCTATGAATTGCTTACCAATTCGCGTGTCATCCAAGCAGGCAGGCGGCAGAAGGTGTTATGTCTAGAGAACTTTGTGTGAGAGCAAAATCAGCCATGAGCTGCAGGGAAGCGTTTGGATTCGTACTTTTGTGGCCAGATGTTTTGTTTGGTTAGAAGTCGTAACATACCCTTCCAGCATCATGCGGACAAAAGATCCAAAGCGCACCCGGCGTGCAGGTTTATATGGACATAGCAACTTGAAGGGGTTCGGTTGCCACCTCGGGCCCCATCAGGAAGGTTCCTTCAAGGGACCCTCTGTCAGGTGCCTGGTAGGGAGGGTACTCAATATGTGCGGGTTGATCAATATTCCTGGCCAAATGACCGTGGGTAGCTTTCCCATGTTAAAATACCATCCGTTGGTGTTTTTCACACCAATAGTTCCATATATATTGGACCTTTGACACCTCTTCTGTTTGGCTGGGTTCGCCTCGCCCACCTGGACCTTTGGGTGTATTGGTCTCACAACCTCAACGGTACCCTCAGCAAAGGAAGGTGCGGGTGTGGCTGTTCCCCCAAAGGCTGTCAAATAGCCCAAAATACAAACTAGGTCGCCCTTTCTCACCAACTGTTTTGGTTGGGAGGGTTCCCCCACTAACATAGAGTACAGAAAAAATACGGTACCAACTTATTCTAAGCTCTTGGACGGGCACTCACACCCCCGTTTGATCGCCGTTGCCTGGTCTCACCTTTCTTAGCCATTTGGAGTGCGCGGTGCGTTTAGGCTCCACCACTTGGCTCCATGGTTACGTGGGATGTGTCATCCTGGTTTTATGTTGCGTTGGATGTGTGACCCTGGTTGAAACCTTTCGCATTCTGGTGCCATTCTTGAGTTTCTGCTTGATGCTTCGAGGGGACACAATGGGACCCCTGTGCGAAAAGCAAAGGAAGCCTAGTGGTCCGAAATGAGCGGCTCAAGCGACCCTCGTGAGCCCATTTGATAACCATGTAGCAGAATCTTGGCATGTACCAGGGGTCCAGAATTATGGTTTAGAAAGGACGTATTATTTTAAGAGACTTCTCTTACCCAGAGGCTTCTGATGTTTTTTGGGCCCTCAAACAGCCAGGTTTTGAGAACCCCAAACACGTCCGGGGTGTCTGATGGAGGGGTCGGGTCTTCCATTGAAAGCCCCAGGAGCCTCTGGGTATGTAATGTTTCGGGGTCTAATATCCAACCTTCACAAGCCTTTGTACCCCGCGGACAAAGCTTAAATGGTACCGTGCCTCAAAACGCAACACACACGCCAACTCGTTCATTTGGGTCTCGATTTTTTTGGGAACCTAGAGTGCAGCAAACAGATTGGATGCGCTTTCCGTGGTTTCCCCATGTTGTTTGGCTAGTGGTTCCTCTTTTGATACTCTTTTAGTACTCTTTTGCTATCCTACAAGGGTGGATCCACAAAAACCACATCCAACCCGTTTTTTTTTTTTAGATAGAGAAGCACGCAGAAAGGGCACCCCTCTGCCCTCAGCCGATGCTTTCCGGATTTGTCCGGCCGAAAGCAAATCTCACGCCATGGAATGGCGAGTGGGGGAGGTGGCAGAGTGCTACAGCGTGTCCCACCAGCAGCGTCTCGGCTCGGACCACGTTTTATTGAAATCCACCGCAAGCAAGGCTTAAGTGTCATATGTCGGCTGTGGGAACAATGTGAGAAGGATTAATTGCAAGGCATTTTGCAGGTGTCTGACCATGTACGACCTCGCTGTTCTGTACAACCTTGTTGTTGTTGTTGTTGTTGTTGTTGTTGTTGTTGTTGTTGTTGTTGTTGTTGTTGTTGTTGTTGTTGTGGTTGTTGGTTGTTGGTTGTTGGTTGTTGGTTGTTGGTTGTTGGTTGTTGGTTGTTGGTTGTTGGTTGTTGGTTGGTGGTTGTGGTTGTTTGTTGTTTGTTGTTTGTTGTTTGTTGTTTGTTGTTTGTTGTTTGTTGTTTGTTGTTTGTTGTTCGTTGTTCGTTGTTCGTTGTTCGTTGTTCGTTGTTCGTTGTTCGTTGTTCGTTGTTCGTTGTTTGTTGTTTGTTGTTTGTTGTTTGTTGTTTGTTGTTTGTTGTTTGTTGTTTGTTGTTTGTTGTTTGTTGTTTGTTGTTTGTTGTTTGTTGTTTGTTGTTTGTTGTTTGTTGTTTGTTGTTTGTTGTTTGTTGTTTGTTGTTTGTTGTTTGTTGTTTTGTTGTTGGTTGTTGGTTGTTGGTTGTTGGTTGTTGGTTGTTGGTTGTTGGTTGTTGGTTGTTGTTGTTGTTGTTGTTGTTGTTGTTGTTGTTGTTGTTGTTGTTGTTGTTGTTGTTGTTGTTGTTGTTGTTGTTGTTGTTGTTGTTGTTGTTGGTTGTTGGTTGTTGTTGTTGTTGTTGTTGTTGTTGTTGTTGTTGTTGTTGTTGTTGTTGTTGGTTGTTGTTGTTGTTGTTGTTGTTGTTGTTGTTGTTGTTGTTGTTGTTGTTGTTGTTGTTGTTGTTGTTGTTGTTGTTGTTGTTGTTGTTGTTGTTGTTGTTGTTGTTGTTGTTGTTGTTGTTGTTGTTGTTGTTGTTGTTGTTGTTGTTGTTGTTGTTGTTGTTGTTGTTGTTGTTGTTGTTGTTGTTGTTGTTGTTGTTGTTGTTGTTGTTGTTGTTGTTGTTGTTGTTGTTGTTGTTGTTGTTGTTGTTGTTGTTGTTGTTGTTGTTGTTGTTGTTGTTGTTGTTGTTGTTGGTTGTTGGTTGTTGGTTGTTGGTTGTTGGTTGTTGGTTGTTGGTTGTTGGTTGTTGTTGTTGTTGGTTGTTGTTGTTGTTGTTGGTTGTTGGTTGTTGGTTGTTGGTTGTTGTTGTTGTTGTGTTGTGTGTTGTGTTGTTGTTGTTGTTGTTGTTGTTGTTGTTGTTGTTGTTGTTGTTGTTGTTGTTGTTGTTGTTGTTGTTGTTGTTGTTTGTTGTTGTTGTTGTTGTTGTTGTTGTTGTTGTTGTTGTTGTTGTTGTTGTTGTTGTTGTTGTTGTTGTTGTTGTTGGTTGTTGTTGTTGTTGTTGTTGTTGTTGTTGTTGTTGTTGTTGTTGTTGTTGTTGTTGTTGTTGTTGTTGTTGTTGTTGTTGTTGTTGTTGTTGTTGTTGTTGTTGTTGTTGTTGTTGTTGTTGTTGTTGTTGTTGTTGTTGTTGTTGTTGTTGTTTGTTGTTGTTGTTGTTGTTGTTGTTGTTGTTGTTGTTGTTGTTGTTGTTGTTGTTGTTGTTGTTGGTTGTTGTTGTTGTTGTTGTTGTTGTTGTTGTTGTTGTTGTTGTTGTTGTTGTTTGGCTTTTCCTCAGCTTTTGTGTTTTTGTTTGTTGGTCTTTTTCGGTTTTGAACGTTTTGTTTTCCCGAACCTATTGGTTCTCGGACCTTTTGCAGGGCTGCCAACCGGATACATTTTGGCCATCCACATCACGTGTTCCAGTTTTGGATGGTTTCGGGGTTTCCAAGCTTTCGAAGGGCGACGAAACCGATCCGCAGCTCGTTGCGGTCCGGGCGAACTTGTCTTTGGGCGAAAGCAGTCGTTGAGGGCCAGGAAGTCAAACCAATTGTCTACCCTTGTGTTTGGATCATGGGATCTTTGCAGGGCGTTTCCGCGGCCGGAATCGTTCGCAACAGATTGGTTGAAATTTCAACGAACAAATGCGAGCCCCCTTTTTTTCAAACAATCAGGGTATTGGTCAGGATGGTATGTGCCTGTGGGTCGTGGTGCCATTTTGGGGTAGGTGCAGCACCCATTTTCGTCTATGTTAGTGGGGATTGGGATGTTCTCTACGGTTATGGGATTTTGACGCATGGCCATGTGTCTTAGCCTGTTGGCTTGCGAATTAGCCCCAAAACAGAAGCCGCGCTTCTCTCAGAGTCTCAGGTGGTGCCGGGGGCAGGTGGTGGAACTCCGCGCGGGCGCGGTGGTGCTGAGTTACAGCACCCCTATCGGCCAGAGCCAAAAGACGGGGTGCCAAAGAGCGCCCTTGAATCCCCTTTCTTGGTTGGGTTCCCCTACTAAAATAGACAGAAAGAAGTTGGTACTGTTGCGAAGTCCGCTCCTCGCACCAAGAAAGAAATGATTGAAACCATTGTTTGCTGGTATTTGGAGGGAATCATCATTCCAGGCTTTCATCGTCCATCCACAGTAGGTGTCCTTCTTAGCTTAGTTTGAATAGAATTAGATGGGTTCCACTGGTTTTAGTTTGGTTTGCTCTTCTTCCGGAAGTTTCCTGTTTCTAGCTGTTGTCTTGAAGAGTCCTTTCCTCAGCTTCCCTCTGATTGCGGTTTGGAGTGGTTAAGGGCTAGTTTCCCATTTACCCGGTAAACAAGAACCAGAAGTTCAATTCCAAACCGCCAAGCCAAACCAACAAGGGTGATCATACTGTGGGTGGTTGCGAACTCCACTCGGACCACCGTTAACTGGTGCAGGAGTTCGTCCATCCACGGTAGGTGTCCTTTTTTAGGAAAAGTTTGGTCAGACAAAGATCGCTTTAATTGGGTTTTATTCCATCCAGCAGGGCCATCTATGTTCCCAAAAGGTCACCCATGGCAAGCTGCCAAAGTGAGTAGAGAGCTAGACTGCCGTAGGGGACATCCCCGAACAGCCATCCAAAAACCACCCACGAAATGTGTTCAGAGGCAATCCGCAAGGTCCCCTTACCTCCGAAGGCCGGCTCTGAAGTGGTGGTGTCAGTGCATGGTCCGTTGAGAAATGGCCATTCGGGGGGCCTCCTAAGTGTTTTCACCAAAAAGCCAGGGAACCCACTGGTGCTCCCACCCAAGTTGCTGCTTTTTCAGTCACTGTTGCTGGTTGTTGGGGTAAAGTTCATGCAAAAAAGCAGCAACTGGCGATCCAGGCATTTCCTTTAGACAGGTCATTTTGATCGTGGGTGCGTGTTTTGCTGTCCACCTTTAGACCTTTGGGGAAGGAGACATCCCTTGAAGTGGTTGCCTGGGGCGGGTTTTCTTCCCAGTGGTGGACATCCCTGCATGGTTTCTATGTAAGGGTACCACACCACCGTTTTTTGTTGGAGGCTCGGCTCCCGTTGGTGCTTGTTTTCGGGCTGGGGTTTCTTTACACACCAAAAGGACCACCGAAATCAATCAGTCCAAATCTCTACACATTCCCCGAACAAACCCAATGTTTCCCCTTTAAGTTTTTATGATTGTTTTACATATTTGTTTTCAAGTGACCCCAAGTGGGTGGTTTGGATTGGTGGTTTTGGGATTTGAAGTTTTGGTGTTTGTAGCCCTTAACAACACCAATCCAAACCAGCAATTAGTGAGAAGCTGATCTCTTTTGGGTGCATCGTTTTTGGAGGGGGTTTTAGAGTGACAAACAACACTGGAAGGGAACGCCCAAAAGTTACATGTTGTAAGAACAACTGAAAGGGAACACCCAAAAGTCCCTAATATGGTTTGTTAAGTATATATTTAATGTTTTGCTTTGGGGGGGTTCGGTCCATGTCCAAAAGACGCGCCCACCCGGTCGTTTGCTGCGGAGGACGATGGCCTTGGACCAGCTCCGCCGGCCGCCGGTGTCGAGGGCCTCGGCCTTGCCAGAGGTGTGGGGCGTGGGGCGTGGGGTGCGGTCGGGGGGGGGGGCGTGCTTGCCCCCCCCCCACCCCCGACCCAAAAAAGCAAAGCAGCTGAGCAAGATAGATTTGGAGGCTGTTTTTCTGTGTTTTGAGATTCACAATTCCATCAGAGATCTTTGGGAGTCTGGAATCTTGAGAAACGTGACATGTAAGGCAGCTTTGAGGCAAATGATCCCCCAGACAGCTAGTTTTCAGCATGTTGAAGCTTGAATCTCATCCGCTTGTAGTAAGCGAGGTGTTGCTTTAGCTCCAGCTTCAACAACAAGACACAATTAGATATACAATCAAGGGAGCATAAGTTACTCTACCAAACCGATCCTGCGTCTGAAAATCATGGATTATCTTGGACTGTGTGTAGTTGCTTGGGCGGTTGTTTCCCATGATGCATTTCGGCTCCATGGTTTCAACTTGAAAAGGAGACAGGGTTGTAGTTTGTTGCATGACTCGCAGAAACCAAAGTTCAAGTCGAAAGGAGAACCAGTGCTAAACAGCGTGCAAACCAGGGTTGCGCCCCCGATCACTAGAGTAACGGTTGGTTTGGGAGATCCATACTCTATCATCAATAGCCGGGATCAGGTCCAACATTGAAATGCGCAGCAATGGCGGACCCTCTGGGTAGCTTAGCTCGGCAAACGCACCGCAATGCAAAGCAGCTTGAGACAGCTTTGTCGTTGCGTGAAGATGTGTCAAATTTTGTTGAAACACGTGCAGCAATTGCGAAGCTTGTGGAAGGTTTAGAGAAGGAATTTGATTTGAGCAAAGTGGGCAAAAGGGCCGCAGCGGGGGCCGCTTCGAAAACGCCCCTACGCGACAAGACCCGTGTTCAACTGCAGAATATGGTCCGCTACCAACTTCGGTGCCGGAGAAAAGAAAAGCGCAGGGCAACGGAAGAATCGACCGCCTTACTGGGCTCACGCATTTCCAGCGCTTGGTTTGTGCGGTGCATGCTGGCCGACCCAACGGTACCTTTGAAGTCATTGGAGGCATTCTGCCAGCAGTTTCATTTGGATGAGGCGCATGCCGTTAGTGCTGCCCGGATCAGCTCTGTTCGTGATTGTTTCGCAGAACTACTCAAACTTCTGAACGCCAATGCAATTTACGACGCTTTTCGGTCTACGCTCGCCACGCCTGAGAATGGCGTCACGTCGGCAATTCCAGTCGTCATGGTCCATATCCATGATGGAGCAGACCTTCGGTTACGTTCACGTGGGCAGCAGCAGCGCTCGGACCAGGACGTACGTTTGCCTATGACTTCCCTGCCGTATAGCCGATCTCACAGCTCCAAAGTGCAATGCCATCATGTCACATTGAACATCAACGGGGAGACCATTCCTGTTTTTACAGAGCTACAACCTCTCCAGCGCAAAGATGCCCTCACATTGAGCACGTCCATTATCAACATCACAACCCAGGTCTTGGCGGCTCTTTTCCCTGTGACAGTGTATGACTATGTGCTTGTAGCCACTTTGCGGCAACGGAGATTCAAGATTCAAGATTCCCCCCATGTCCAAAATCTCAAGTCCCAAAAGCAGAGATTGGGGGTGCTGGTATGAGTGGTCCGGACCCTTCAGCGTTGCCCGTGGGTCCACCCTTTTGCTAACCCTGAATTGGTGGGTTTGGATTGTGTTCTACAAGGCCGGCTACCATATTGAAGTGGTAGGAACGCCTTGTTTCAACCCTCCTTGGTTGCACCACGACACCCTACAAAGAATGGGATCAACCTCCTACCAACTGCTGGATTTTGTCCACCAACATCTGATGCCAACACAGACGTCTTTCTTGATCGCATGCCCAAAAACTCCATGGGGCCTCCATGGGGTGGATGCACATCCATTTGCCACCGTTGATGTTCGCCAGAAATACAGGGCGTTCACCCACATATATGTTATCGGAATGATGATGTTATGAAAAAACACATATATTTTTTTTGGTAGGACCCCCAAGCCCTCGGCCGGCGTCTCCCGCGTCTCCGGGCGAGGCCTTCGTCCAGGCGCGGAGCTTTCCTAAGGAGCCGGCGCCGCCGCGGGTGGAGCAGATCCCCTTCCTGGGAGAGCGGCCGCTGGGGGAGGTGCAGGAGTTGGGGGGGGTTCCGGGGGTCGGGGGGGTACCTTACCCCAAAAGGGTACCCGTTCCCCCAGTAGTGCCCTTCTCTCCCCTTTTTTTGGGGGGAGGGTTCCCCTAACAGACCACAGAAAAAGGAAGCGGTACCCTTACTCTAACCTCTCCACTTGAGGACCTAGCACCGCGTCCGGTCCAAGTTCGTCGCTTAGGAGGAGACCTACGCGACCCTGCAGCGGCTCATCGCCCACGGGGACCTCCAGGGCGCGCGGCGCGCCCTGGCGCGGGCGCGCTTGTTGAGCGTGGAGAACCTGAAGACGGAGGAGGCTGGGGGTTGGGGGCAGTGGGGTTGGGGTTGGGGGGGTTGGGTTGGGGGGTTGGGGGGTTGGGGGGTTGGGTTGGTTGGGGGGTTGGGGGGGTTGGGGGGTTGGAGGGGAAGGGTGTTTTGGAGGTGAGTGAGTGGGGGGAGTTCTAGGAGAAGTTTTAGTAATTCATGGATGGGGGCTGATGTGTGGCCATTTTTGGAGTGTTTGGGGGGTAGGAGAAGTTCGAGTAGTTTTTTCTCTTTTTTGCGTGGAATTGGATCGGGTAAGAGAGTTGTGCATTTGGATTGGCGCGCCAAGCTTTGGAGCCTCAAGATGGTTGGTTTCCTTGTGCCGTCCCTTGGTTTCCCTTTTGCCTTTGTTTGCGTTTCCCTTTAACCCCCACCCCCCCACCCAAATCGCGGGAAGTCAGTGACGGGGCGCGTGCGCTCTCCGCCCGGCAGGCGGCGGTGCAAGCCTTGGAGCAGCGCGGGGAGTTCGGGCTGCTGTGCCCCTAGCGCTCGCGCCCTCGCGCGTGCTCGCGCGCGTGGCGAAAAGAAAATCCGCGGGGGGCGCGGAACGGGGCGTCGCGGCGGGCCAGGGTTGCGCCCCGAGCCGTTTGAGACGGGGCTCAGAAATTCATGCGGTAAATGACTTTTGGGGGACCCTCTGTTCTGAGGAACGCCTGGTTCAGCAAAATCAACCCAGCTGCCAACCTCCATTTGGCCTGGCTTGTTCGATTATAAGCTCCTTCTTTGGTTCCCTCTCATTAGATCTAAAGGGGACGTGTTCTTTCAGGAACACCCTCCAAACTCCTTCCCCGGTTTCCTGCAAATTATTGTTTTGTTGAGGCCTGACTAGGGTCCTAAGTATGAAATCCAAGAAGCCCATCCTTAGAGAAATCCAATTTTTGGAGCACCCTCTTTTTGAGCTTGGCAATCTGCAGCGGAGTTGCTTTCCGTTTGGTTTGGGGAGAAATTCGAATAGAAAGATCCAGACCACCAGGCGAGAGTTGAGATGCGGAAACCCCAAACTCAGGGAGTCCCTCTAGTTGAACCTCTCGGGCTTGCTTAACCATGACCCTCCAAAGGGTTGGCAAAAGGGTTGGTTTCCTGCGGTTTCCCTTGCCCAAAAAGCTTCAGAAGGGCCTCGAAAGACTCTGGGGTCAGGCCAAACATGTGGCTGGGAGTTGGCTTTCCAGTATGGCTGAATCTCCCGCTTTTTCTTTTTTTTTTTCCGGGACTTGCAATTCTCAAGGCCCCGAGCTTCCCCCATATGTTAAGATGGGAACAGAGGTATGGACGAAGTACCATAGATGAAGGAGCTAGACTCACTGAGTTGGTATGATCTTTCCGGGATCTTCCCATCTTCCCCAAGCGTCTTCCTGGGGCACGTTTTCGCGAAAACGTGTCCGCTTCGGCCCATCGACTCGAAACCGGCGAGAGTCGCTGCGCAGGTCCCGGATGCGCCCTGGATCTTGGCCAGCGGCAGAGCTCGACACTGGCCCCAGGCGGGGGAAAGTCCAGCGGCAGATGTTTCAGCCCAGCTTCGCTTTTGCGTTGTGAGATTAACGTTCCATCAAGTGGACACTTCTCCCATCCTCTTATGCTACCAGGGTTTGCCTGGATTCCAGGAATAGTGCGGGTTGGGTAGCATGCCTGAACCCCAAGAGGAGAAGTTATGTGGCGGCATGTGTCGAAATTCCCCCCCCCCCCCCAACAAAACAAAAACAAAAACACAACAAGTGGTTCGGGTTTGGTGCAAAAGACTACGAACTGCAAACAAGATGCGCCCATATGGCACTCCGGTCGTGGGGCTACTGTGGATGAACGAAATTCGGCACCACCTATAAACACCCTGGATTGATGATGCCCCCGTAAACACCAACAAACAATGGTTTCCGCCATGGTTTCTTAGGTTATGGATTTCGCAGCCATCCACAGTATGGCCCAGGGTCTGGTGGAGAAACCTCTTTCTAGTTTGGTTTCTCGTTTTGGTCCATTTGTCAAGGTCCAGGCCTATCGGCAGAGGTTTAGGGCCATTTTGGCTGGAAAAAGGCCAAGGACTGGATCACGGCCCAAATTTTTTGGAGCCCAGGCCAGAGGCGTCTTCCTGGGATCCAACAAGGAGCTCGCCGCCTGGATCAACGACGAGAACCACCTGCCTGGGCCTCGCCTCAGCTAAAGGAGCCAGGAAGACGCCGAGGCGTTGCAGGTGGTTTTTGGCGTGGCAAAGCCCCCAAGACTTGGAAACCGATTTTGGGTGGTTTCAAGAGGGAAAAAAGGGGGAACACCTGAATTCATTTTGCGGGTCCACTCACAAAGGAGACACTTGAATGGGTGTGGTATTTCAGCCGGAGAACACCAGGCGGAGTTGAAAGGAAACCTGAGAAATTGTTCTAACGACATGTCGGCTTTGCTTTCAGGTACCTTCCCCATTCTTTCCAGGGGTCCTTCTTTTCAGGAAACCATCAAAAACCCAGGGGAAACAGCCGGTTTTTGAAAAGAACGATGGTTGAAAAGAATGGGGAATCAACCCCTGGAGATATGTTTCCTACATGTTGGTTTTGAGGGACAAGGGTTGTGACTGGCACCGAGCTCGGAAAATTAGTTGGGAGCTGGATGAACAACCCGTAATTCACTGAAACCTGTGGTTTTGACTCGCAAAAGCAACGGGAAATGTATTAAAAAGGAGAAAACAGAAAACAACAAGAACCTTGTGATTCTTGACCTTTGGACATGTTGTGCAACGGTATTGGGCATTGAACCCTGCCTCCGCCCAGTAGCGGATGAATCATTCGCATCAGCCACCAATCGTCCGAACCAAATTCTGCTATCTGGCAACGTGAACACGGCGACCGAGATGCAATTTGTTTTTACCCCGAGGCTCCAATTCGATCGATTTAGGGCCTTCAAGCCACCCGGTTTTGAGACCCCCAACCACCAATTCCCGGGGTGTCTAATGGAGGGCTCGGGTGTCTTCCATTGAAAGCTCCAGGAGCCTTGTGGGCCCAACCAGAAGAACTCGCCATGGGATGGGAATCCGAAATCCCAGTCCATTGCTCCCCTCTCGCCGCCTGGCCGTAGGCGCCTCATGGTCCGGCGCTGGGATTGCGACCTCCAGGCGCGCGCGTGGCGCGTGCCGCGTGCCCGTGGAAATGCCGTCATAGAAAGATGGGCCGCCTTTGCACACTTTCCGGACTTCAGTCACTTTGGGGGAAGATCAGTTTAGTGGGGAAAACGAGTGGTAGGAATTTGTTGTTACATGCCTTCTTTACACACCTTACAGAATAGCACAGCCGCCTGGCTGGTTGCATGCCCCCTCTTCGCATACTACGATGCATACCCAGACTTTGAGTGATTTCCTATCGCTGCTTTCAGAGCATGCTTTCGCTGAGCATGCCTGTGCAGAGTCAACTTGCAGAGAGCTTGCCCTTCAGAAGGACAATTCTTTGTGGAGAAGGTCGCAGGGAGGGGCTGGAATAAGTATTCTTTCTTTGCTATCCCTTGTTACATACCTCGTTTCGTCGTGACATGCCTCGTTACATCCCGAACGCCCGCCCGGGTCCAGCGACCCCTTTTGCCATCACCTGGCTTGCGCTGAACAGTTGCGACTTTGGAGGTGCAGAAGGCAAACTTTGCATGCCCTACGTTGCGCTCCTGAACTGAACAGTTCCGCGGCTGTTTTCCCGACATCCTACACTAAGTGAGGAGGGGTTTGACTTGTGACCTTTGTGGGTTCACTTATGACCTGGGTGGCGGTGGCTTTTGCTTTGTGGTTGCCCTTTGGTTCGACCTGGGAACTGCCCAGACCTCTGGCGCTCTCGGAGAAAGAGGCCTCAAGTCGCAAGCTGGTGGCCGCCTGGCGGCTTCCTGGAATCCCCGTTTCGTGTGGTTGCCGTGCTGTCTTTCAGAGGAAAAACATGGAGCTTTCTTCCAGCTGATGGCCAAGATCCTGACCGGTTGGGGTGAAAGGACTTCTCCATCCTCAAGAGGCCTCAGGTGCCGATTGGCGATTCGGTCCATGTATGGCTCTGCGGTAAACTTCCCCCTCAGCTTGCTGGCTCTCAGCAGGGAATGAGGGAATGAACCTGAAACTTCCCCTAAAGGAAACCATAGGGGATGGTTTTCTTGGGGTCATTCCATTTCTCATTCCCTGAGCACAAGCAAGGAACATGGTGGTTCTCCTTTTGGTTTCTTCGTGTAACGGGACGCTTCGATCCTTATGGCAGTGCCAGGCTGCTGTGACCTTGCTATACCAAGCTGAGGAGGCGCAAGAGAGCCGAAGGTTTCGGGGAAAATGGCAGGTATCCGCTACAAATGGGTGTGGGTCAAAATTAAACCACTAGGGACCGCAGGTTTTAGTCCATGTTTCCATTTACCGGGGTTCCATTTTGGGTTTACTCCTATTTTGACCCACAGTCATATGGGTTCTCACAATGAGTTCGCTGGCCCATTGATCTTTGAACCAAGTTCAACAAGGGTAGCCTCAAAAAAGGGGACTCCAGGATGTTACACTTTTTCCCCTGAGCTTTGGCCTGGTGGAAGCCGGGGAACAAGAAGAACTTGACACAGCAAGCTATGGAAGGCAACTGCAAACACGAGGGATGGTCCATCAGGGGATGGTCCCTCGCCTTTGCAGCGGTGATATCCCTATTCAGCAGCGAAGGGGATTGGGCATCTACCGCAATGCAGCTCGAGGTAAAAACAAAAAGCTCGCCTGGGATATCAGCATAGTTGCCAGAAGGGAAGTCACAGGTGAACTGCCAGGTGCCATGCAAGGACTGGCGTACTCCGATTGCGTTCAAAGACCACCTTAGCTTTTTGATCCGGGCGATTTCTTATGCGAATTGGCCAAACTTGGTCGCTCCCAGCCATTGGGTTCCTGAGCTTTTTCGCTTTTTGGTTGGTTTAGTGGTTGGGTTTCCGTATCTAACTCACAAGTTCAAGTGTTAGCCGGGGATCTGAAAACGGACTGCCCAGCAAACCGACATCGGTTTTCGGGAAGGGACCCCCACGGCAGGCGGTTGCGCGGGCGCTGGAGCAGCAGCGGCACCGCTTCGCCCGGAGCGATCGTCCGGACGCCCAGGTGAAACCGAAATGCGAGTACCATACGTGGTGGTTCCCCACTAAACCCCGGGATATTTGGGGTACATGGATTTGGGTTTGGCAGGGGATTCGTCAACAGATTCCTAAGAAGGAAAAAACCAACAAAGATGACTAGGTCCCCCAGCAGTGACCTTTTGCCAACTTTTTTTGGGGAGGGTTCCTCTTATCAAAACAGACTACAGAAAAAAGGGTACCCTTGTTCTAACCTCTCTACTGGAGGACCTAGCCAATGCGAGTTGCCATACTGTGGATGGACGAGATCCATTTCGCACCACTTTGAATCCAACGGCAACCATTGTTTGCTGGTATTTACAGGGGAATCGTATGATTCCAGGGTTGCGTAGGTGGTGCAGGACTTCGTCCATCCACAGTACGTGGCCTCAAAAATTCGAAAACTATTGACCCCACGTCAATCAACCCCAGTTTGTTAATGAGTGTCCCTGGGTTTAGTGGGGAATCATCATTTTTGGAAGGGAACACCTAATACGGGGTTATCATTATGTTTATACACGACTATTGGAGAAAGCTATGAGCAGTTCTATTTTAGATAACAGTTTTTGGCCTTAATGAGAATGGTTGCGGAATATGGTGGGGCAATTGACAACTATGTGTGGGCGTACGACTATTGGAGGAAACTGGTAATGACTTTAGAGCCTCCGGCTCAGTCCGCCGACATTGTCCTCTCTGGTTTCTCCTGCTTCCTCTCTCTCTCTCTCTGTCTCACTCTCTCCTTCCCTCTATGCGTCTCTCTGTCTCTCTCTCTTTCCCTCTCTCTCTCGCTCCTCTCTATGTCTCTATCTTTCTCTACCTCCTCGCTATGCCTCATTCTCCCCACCTCGTGTCTCTGCCCCCCCCCCCCTCCTCTCTCTTTCCTCTCTCTTTCCTTTCTCTTTCCTCTGTCTCTGTCTGTCTGTGTCTCTCTCTGTCTCTCTCTGTCTCTCTTTCTGTCTCTCTCTGTTTCTCTCTCCGTGTTTTTCTGTCTCCTGCTTTGTCTCTTTCTCGATCTCGGTCTCTTTCTCTGACTCTTTCTCTGACTCTTTCTCTGTCTCTGTCTCGCTCTCTCTCTGTCTCTCTCTTTGCTTTGCAGCGTCATGTCCCCCTGGAGTTGCCTTGATTTCCGTGCACTGCCCCTTCATGACCCCTGAGTTGTCTCCGTACTACTGGCTTTTTACTTGATTGCCCCTTCATGTCCCTTTCATGTCTCGTCATTTTTCGAGGATGTCCTTGGCATGTCCCCTTCCATTTCCCGACATCTCCCTTCGTGTCCTTTGGTTTCCTTGTCCTTTGCTTGCCTTGCAGTCCCCCCTCACTCCCCTTGTTTTCATTGCTTTCCCCTTCATGTCCCTTTCAGTTCCCCTTCATGTCCCTTTCAGTTCCGCTTCGTTTCCCTTTCATTTCCCATTGCTTTCCTGTCATGTCAACCTTTTGTCCCCTGCATGTCCTTGCATTTCCCTTTATTTCCTCCCCTCATTTCCCTGCACTTCCTTGCATTTTCCCTTCGCTCCCCAGTATTTTTCCGAACAAAAAACCCGGTTTTCCCACGTTTTTGCAAAAATGATGTCAATAACACAGAGTTTTCCCAGATTCCGAAGACTACTTTTAGTTGAACGTCATCAGATTACCACGCGGTATGTGAGGCACCCCCCGACGTGTAAACCCTACGTATCAGACGTCGGGCGGGGGTGGGGGGGAAAGGGGGGGGTTATGCTCTATCCTCTCTTAAGTATCCGACACGCCTCCGCAATGTCGGCGGATTTACCTCCTCATGATGCTAGATGCATTGCCGGAACTTGAACTTTTTGCTTTTTCTCCCATCTGTTGGAGTGACACATGTATGTATGACGTGTGACACATCACACGAATATGTTGCTTATTAGCAAGGGATCAACGCCACTAAAAAGTGTTTTCCTTGCTTTGCCCCAGGACGATCAACGCACGTTGATCGCGCGTTTACCAGCTTCATGAAGGCTATCTCTCGTTGCCAGGATGCCAATGGAGCAGGGCATGTGGCTACTCCGACTGACCTCCCGGCATGGCCAGGTTTCGAAGCTGAGTGACGCTCTCTCTCCAGATGAGATCATTGGTGGGTACTCCTCTTGGACATTTGGGTGTGGGTCAAAAATAGACATCCAAAATGGAAAACCTGAGGTTTTCTCGTGGTTTCATTTTGACCCATACCCATTCAAGGAGTCGCTGGAAGCTTCTGGGTGGTTTGAGTCAAGGCCCTGCAGCTGAGCCTCGAGGAGCTTTGGGGGGCTGACGTGCGGCAGCTGAACGTTCAGCTGATGCCAGCTGCAGACTTCGAACAAGTTTGAGCTGCGCTTCACCAAGTCGAAGCTTTTGCTTCTTTGCTTTTCTCTGTGTGGCCCTTGTGTTTTCGTTTCCCGAAGAAACCGGAAGCTTCAAGCCGTGCTTGCAGGGGGAACATGGCTGCGGAACTTGCCAGCCGTTCCCTGCATTCTGGATCGACTCCTACATTCTCTGCTAAGCAAACCAGGTCTGTCGGATTGAGAGGCAGATATATACCCCACAGAACGGTGCTGTTGCCCTGGCTTCTGTGGCTACCCGGAGTAGCTATCTCTCTCACCTATCGAGTTGTCTGTCAGGGGAACACACCAAGAGCTGTTCACCTTTTTTGGAGTTCCGGTCCAAGGGCAACGGCAGTCAGAGAATCAGCGGTGTTGGCATTTTTGTGGGTTTTTTGGTGGTTGTTTGGTTCTGCTCATTCTTTGGGGGGGCTCCGAAAAGCAAAGTGTTCTGCTACCATACCAAGGGTTGAATAATGATCCTCCATGGATTTTGATTCACCATGTTTGTACCAGGTACAAGCCTAGTACGGAGAATCGTACCAAGCCTACCAGGTGAACAAGCATAAACATGTACGGAGAAGAGGGAACCCTTCTTTTTCACCATATTCGAAGATGTGTTTTCATTCTTTTCCTTTTTCACCATTCTTTTAACCATTCTGTTTCACCAGGTAAACATAGGGAACTCAACTCGGGGGGGAAACAAACCCCGAAGCTTTCGGCCTAGGCCTGGGCTACCTGACCACCTGCCCCAGCGGCCTGGGCTCGGCCTTCCGCCCGGGACCCAGCCACGCTCGCTCGCTCGCCGGGTGCGCGGCGCGGTGGGATTTTCCGTTTGGTGAGGGTGGCCGTTTTTGTAGGTGTAAATGCCACGACTTTGGGGAGCCCCTAAAAAAAATGGGCGTAAAAGGAAAAACAAGAGGAAAGCCAGCATTTTGGGGGGTTTTAAAAAATATAAGTGGCGCAACCAGGTGCCTGGGTAAAAGCGCCTTCGCCTTGTTTGGTGGGATTCGCAGTTGGAGGTGTGGACGAGAAATTTGGCACTACTTGACCGACTCCCAACAAAAATCAAGCTTCCCCACACAAGACAAAACTTCCCCAAGAAAAGATGCCCAAGAACGCCCAGCCGCCCACCCTATTGGAGACATGGTGGATTTGTCGAGTCCCCTTTGAGGCGCCAAGCTGCGCGCCAGTCTGCCGCAGCTGGGGCAGAAGGAGAAGTTCCACGACTTGGTGCGCGCGCTGGGCGTGCAGGCGCCCTTTTTGTGTTTTTGCACCGCAGCGGATGTTTTCTTCGGACCCGTTGCTAGGTCATTGAACATTTGTTCACACAGGTTTCCAAACTACCCAGAGGCTCCCGATGTTTTTGGGGCCCTCAAGCAGCCAGGTTCTGAGAACCCCAAACACCTCCGTTGGAGGGGTCGGGTCTTCCATTGAAAGCCCCAGGAATTCTTGGGTGTTCGACCAACTTCATAAGCTGAGTTAACCAGTTGTTAGTGGGGGCTGACCACCTAGGTGGTTGCCCACTTAGTAAGGGTATACAGTACACTCATAGCCCTTGGTGGCTGTGGTGGTGGTGGTTGTGGTGGGGGTGGCGGTCTTGGTCGGAACATATGGGATACACCCCCCTACATTGCCCTTTTTCCAACAGCTTCCATGTTTTGTTTGTTGAAATCATCAGGTTTGTTCCTTTTCTGAAAGCAATGATTAAACCACACGGGTTCACTTGGTATCGCATCCCAGTCAGTTTTTATATGCCGGAGTTTGGCACATGCCCCGCAGAGTTCCACCCGGATTTCTTGGTGCTTGCTCCAAGCCTCCGAATGAGTTCACGCGGAGGACAAAACGTGGTGTGGATGGACAATACTCTGCAACAAACCCACCAGTGTGTATAGGTGGCTTTTACACGCGGGATGTTGCCCATCCGCGTTTCATTTTTGTGTTTTGAGTGGAGAGTCTAGGTCCCCCACCCAGTAGTGCCCTTCTCTTTGCTTTTTTGGGGCAGGGTTCCCCTACTAAAATAGACTGAAAAAATCGGGTACCTTGCTCAAACCTCTCTACTGGGGGACCTAGTTGAATAGACCCCGGCTTTTTCCCGCTTTTCGCTAAACCAAAGCTCCGCCAAAAATCGCCGCAATCGTCGACCGTCGGGCAGTTGTTCTTGGTGGCGAGGCCAAGCGTGTGGTGAAGTCCGAGGGGTCCTGGGACCTCTCGGCCGTGCCCTGCGGCCGCATCACCGAGGAGAGCGACGACCAGGCCGCGTGAGTGAATCCCACGCGGGGGGAAACGTTCGCGATGTGGCACGGTCAAAATTCACCCGCCGCAAATCCGCAGGTGTTGGTCCATGTTTTCACGATCCATTTGGGCACCTATTTTTGACCCACAGCCATGGGGCTCGGGGCTCGGGGAGAGGCGAGGTTGAAGAAGGTTTGCCTTTTTTTTTGGGAGTCCCGAGTTTTCGGCTGAAATCTTGGAGTTTGCCCAGATTCATAGTTTACTCCTATCATACCCGAATCTGGTTTCAAAGTAGCCGACCCCATTCAAATGTTCAGGCCCGGAAAGCAAGTGTTTCACACCAGACTCCAAAGTGGGTTATAAACTAGACTAACTCCCAAACTTGGCGCCACCCCTTTCAGCAACTAAAGATGGCAGGCCGCAGCGCATCAGCTCAGAAGCCTAGAATGACATGCCGTCCTGTTAAACACATTTTTACTTATGGGAGATAATTTTGTTTGCATAGTTATTTCGCCTCCTTGCATTGCAGTCAGGTGACAGTACATGGCAGCTCCCCCCTTTTTATCATTCTCGCGGACATGGGAATGGTGCCCTCTACGATTTTTTCCCAGGTGCTTAAATCCGCCCAGTGGGTCCCTGCAGTTCACAAAATCGGTATCCATCCATTTTCCTAGCATGTAAAAGGGGGGGTGTTCAACCGTAATTACCCCTTTTCAGGCAACCAAACACTTGGTGCTCCGAATCACTCGGCTAAGAGGGAAGCTGAAATGGGTTCCAAGACCCGCAA